AGTCGCGGCAGAGGCGGCGAGCAGTGACGGCGGCGGTGGTGGGTGGCGGGAATGGGAGTGGGAGGGACGGAATCCGCCGTGACAGGACGTGAAGAGGTCGCGCGGCGAGGGCGGACGGGCCGAGGCCGCGGTGCGTGGCAGCGGAGAGTGAGGACGTCGCAAAGCCGTCCTCACTCGCTCGCGCGGAGAAATCGACGAGCTGAGGGCCCACGCGGCGGGCGTCCCCGCGACCTGCCTCTACGTGCACGTTCCTTTAGTAGCGCTACGTTCCACGTGCTACGTGCTTGCATGGAGCTGCATTTGCGCTGTCGACTTGTCGCTGAAACAATCCTTTAATCTACTTTTTCGCGGACCAATTCATTCTATGTCTCGGCTGTCAAAATTGCACTGACAGATTTTTAAAAAAATACTCAAATTATATCGATTTGGTGTGGTACAGCAGTGGGCAGATTCTCATTTACGTATTTTTGAATCGAAAAGCTGTTGACAGAATACAGCCAATGTTGTTAATTTCCAACGAGCGTATTATTCGGTATAAATCGTATAGATTTTATTTTATAAATGTATTACACATCAAATTATAACTTTTATTTATCTCTACCAGGCAGATTGATGGTAGTTGAATGGAAAGAAACACCGCATTAGTAGTGACACACATCTTGTCGCAAAAATACGAATTTATTTTACGCATCATACATGAGGTAGTCACTAAATGAGTTACATGAGTAAATAATCAGTCAAGGAAGTTGTGAAATAGATAATTATTAGTTCATAATTTGAACTAATAATTAAAAAACAAGTAATAGAATGAAAGACCCCCCAGGGCAACATTAACTTGAATCACTGCTAGCTAATGTTACGGTACTCTAACAACTGGTATCACATTTACGTGAATGTAATGCGACATCGAATCTAATGCTCATCCCATTTGAAACTTAAAATTATGAAAAAAAAGGTTTTGTATCGATTGTAATGCGCATCAATGACAGAGGTGCGGTATTTTATTTAATTTAATGTAATACAACAATGAATTTATCACAAACCAACTGCTTTACTGCTAATTGCTTTACGCTCAAAGGAAACATAAGACGTTCTTTTCTGTTTGCCCTTCATATCGTAGTAACTAACAACCCTCAATAAAGGCGAATGATAAATGAAACGAAGATGAAATTGAAAACTCTAACTATTGATTGTGATGTAATAAACGAAAAAAAAAATGAAGTTACTAGCGTTCTACGGAACGAATTTGCACTCAAATCTAAGGTGCACCACGATTTTGCGTACTACTTTTAGTCAAAAAAGGTCCGCATTAGATTCACGTAAAGACGGCATATTGTTAATTACGAGTTTAAATTTGGTAATAAATAGTTCGATGTCAATCTGTACATCATTTCTGCACTGTTTTTACAAAATGTGTTCCAAAACAATTATTTATAAAAATAATCATTACAATTTATTCAAAAATCCCTGTTTTCAAGTATTGATTCACTCAGAAAAAAACTTTTTAAATATTATTTCATTGAAAGCACATAGTGCAAAACTTTTTAATTTGCATTATTCATCAATGTATTCCCTAAATTTGAACTTTAATTATATTAAGAAATTCATATCGGCAATTCCAACAATGAATTCATTCTAAAATCAGCGATGTGTTCAGACAGTCATGCCACCTTAAGGCGGAGACGGCAGCGCCGGTTATGATAGTAGCAATCGTGGGTCATATTAATAATTCATATCTGTATTCAACACAAATTCAAATTAACAATCCTAAGAACGCTCATTGAGTTAATTCTTGCTAATATTCTACAATTAGATACTTTTCTACTGCAAACCAGACGGAAGGTGACGCTAGAATATACAGATATTTTATAATGATGCTACTCTGAAGAAATAATTTGTAAGTTCTGTAGATTCAGGGGCGGATCCAGCCAATCATTTGGGGGAGAGGGGGCTCATAGATTTTGGTTAAACATTGTACGTATTTGTTATTATATTGTAAATTATTTTTTGTGGATATATGATACTATATATTGTTATTTTTTAAATAATTTCAACATAAATGTTTAAAATTCAACATTATTTCAACATAAATATTTATAACAATTTTACAAAAAAAAGGAGGTAACACACAAAAACCCTAGTTCTTTTAGGGGGTTGGGGGCCAAGGACTGGATCCGCCGCTGGAAAAGGCAAGATGACGGAACCGTTCGCGAACACGAGAGCAGCGCCGGAGACCGACTTCGGCGCGCGCCTAGGCCGGCGCTAGCGGGTTGACGCGCCGCGCCGGTGCGGTGAACCCCGACCCAGAAGCACCGGCGACCCACAAGGCGGCAGCGGCGGCGGCATTCGCGCTTTCGGGGCCGCCATGCAAACGGCATGCCGCGGCGTCCACCTCCACGGCACCGGCGCGGTTATATGTACCGCAAATCGACGGCGGCGGCGGCGACGCGAGTGGCAGGTGACGGCGGGTCAGCGGCCGCTCGGGCCCCCGCACCGCCGCCGCCGCCACCGCTGCTGCTGCTGCGACTCCCCAAGTCCTGGAAAGTCAATGGCGTCGGATGGTCACCGACCTCGAATTATGGAGAAGGGCAGGGCCTCCTCCGGGTGAAGAGGGGGAGGGGGAGGGGAGGAGGCGGAGTAGTAAGAGCGAGCGAGTGCCAGCGAGAGAAAGAGAGAGAGAGAGAGAGAGAGAGAGAGAGAGAGAGAGAGAGAGAGAGAAGCACGAGACTGGAGAGTCGGTAATTACCGGGTACAGGCGCGGTACTGTCAGTTCTAGCTCAGGAATTTCTCTCTCCGACTCCCTTCAACGGGACAATACGAGCGCGGGCGGCTACGGTATGAGAGGTGTGGTGCGGAGGCGTGGAGCGGGGAAGGGGCGGGGCGGGGAGTGCGAGGAAATCATAACCCAGGGTGCCAGGACGAAGCGATGTGTGAGCAATGTGGCACGACGACGCGAGGCGGGGGCGGAACGGGTTAGGTCGGGACAAAGAACCGAAGGGATGAGCAGACAGGAAAAGACGTGGAGGCCTTACATGACGATCACAGTGCAGTCGAAATATCAGTTGGCTGATATCGGACGGACAAACCCTAATGAAATATCTCCGTCCGACAGACTAAATAAACTTTTCGGATGTGCGGGTCATCGGAGGCGGCCAGATAAATGACCAAAAATGACGAGATATCGTTCTGAGTGAAACCATATTGGAAGGGAAGGGCGGTACGAACCAGTGTCATGTATAGTGAGGTAGGTGGTCATGGTCGGGCGCGGCAGAGCAGAGATACTCATAGCCAGGAGAAAAGATGGGGCGAGAGCGAGCAAGAGAATAATATGTTCCAGCGGGTAAGACGGAACGGGTTGGTGCTGGGCGAGGTGAGTACTAGACCGAGGGATGAAGATGGAAGGGGAGTCCTAAATGAATAAAGATGCATACGATCGGTTTACCCAGCGGCGGTGTGATAGGGTGGAAGACAAGTAGGACAAGAAGGGTTTAAAAAAAATCGATGTGGACAAGAGAAGCTGAAAGTACGGAGGGGGGTATGGCAGGGAGAAGCGAGATGGGTGGTCGAGGAGGACTGAGAGTGTGTGCTGAGTAAGCGAAAAAAAATGCGATGTCGGGAGTGGGAGGGG